AAATTGAAACGATATTGTGTTGTGAAAATTTTACATTATTTTAATTAGAGATACAATTGAATACCACCCCTAATGCCAATTTCATGTGTACTGAAGTCCTTTGACCGTGCACACTTCTACCTGTGGCCCTTGTCAATAGAGATCCCACTGCCCTTAGGTGAAGGGTAACAGCCATTATTGAATTAGAATTCTTACAGCTAGTCTGCCTTCCGGATTGACTGAAATTGTGTGAAAATAAAACTCAAGGCCCATCTGCTTCTCTAGTTTTCATCCAAGATTCCCTGGAAGGGAACTCCACCAGAGACCAAATATTTGCTGTAGTTGTGTTGCTGTAGGTTTGGAAGCCATCCCAGTATGGGAAAATACAAAACTAAATTATTTCAAATGTTTGCATGTTCTCTCTCTTTCTCCCTCCCCTTTATAAAAATTGTAACTTTCTGCAGGGAATTGCCTGATTTCCTAGTATTTAAGAATATTGAAACACATGTTCTAACACAGCAAGCAAGCTGACTCTTTGGAGTATGTAATATGTAATAACTATTGTTGCAGTTGGAAATAAAACTGGATAGTTCATCATAATAGTCAGTATGGCAATATGTCTCTGCATGGATGCATGGAGTGCTTCTATAAACATCTCTAGGAAATTTCATTACCCATTATGGCCTCCATGATTTTGCTTAAGCTGTTCTCCCTTTCTATAATTTTCTTAACCCCTTTTCATCTATATGTAGTTCATCAATTCTTTAGGTTCTATTTTTGTATAAAATATGTTACCTGATACCATAAGTGATCATTAATCATTCTTTCTTCTGGATACCTGGGATATTTGTTATACCGGACCAGAGTTTGGGAAATATTTTTCTATAAAAGGTCAAATAGTGCAGCCCCGCCAGTGTTGCTTAGTGGTTGAATGTTGACCCAAGAACCAGGAAGTCATGGCTCAATTCCAGGTCAGGACACAAGCCCAGGTTGCGGGCTTGATCCCCAGTAGAGGGCATGCAAGAGGCAGCCCATCGGTGATTCTCTCTCATCATTGACGTTTCTATCTCTCTGTCCATCTACCTTCCTCTCCCTCTGTGAAATCAATTTATAAAAAAAAAAAGATCAGATGATGCATATTTTATTTTGGAAGCTACGTGATCTCTTTTGTGACATCCCACTGTTGTATGAAAGCAGCTGTAGACAGTACATGAATGAATGTGCATAGCTGTGCTCTAATAAAGCTTTATTTATAAAACCAAGCAATGGGCCACACTTGGCCTATAGTACATTGTTTGTGGACACTCATACTTGACAATGCTTATAGACCTTGAGAGAAGCTTAGCTAATGCTCTCCTATTCTGTGTGGGTCGTCTGTCTGAAGGAGAACTGACATAATTAAGGTTATACATTTTATGATGGAGCCAGGACTGATAAGCAGTTCACCTAAACCACGGCCCTGCATTTTAATTTATGTGTAACTTTCAGTATTTGATGCTATTCTATTTAGCACTGAATTACAAACTGTTTAGTATTATCACTTGTTCTTTCATGTTTAACCACTTCATGTGAGTCCGTGTATTATTACCTGTTGTGGAGAAATGGACTATAAACTAGTGTGTGTGTGTGTGTGTGTGTGTGTGTGTATTTTTTATATATTAATACATATATATGTTAATGTCCCAAAGTGTTTAGAACAGTACAAAGTATAGAGTAAAATCTCAATAAATATTTGTAATTAAAAGTCGTTCAAGAAACATACAGTACACGTAGCAATTTTCTTTCTTTTAATTAAATTGATGGGGGTGTCATTGGTCAACATGAACAAGATCTGTATATTGCACCATGTGCCCACCACCCAAAGTCAAATTTTCACCTGTCACCTTATATTAGGATCTAATTTTCATAATTATACGGTTATAAATTACACCTCAATTAAGGAGAATGTGAGATTGCCAGTGCATAAAAGTGCTTCAATTCTGATAATAACTTTACAGCCACCTTTTACAAAAACCAAACAAACAAACAAAAAACCCCCACAAATAATCTCTTATATACTCTTATATTTTCTGTTCCCTATTTTTTTAAATTTTTAAGTATATGATTTTTAAAAAATAGTGACATGTAAAATTTGATGATTTGTTACAGAAGTCAAACTTTTAAAGATGATTTGTTACAGAAGTCAAATTTTTAAAAATGTAATGTGGATAAACTATCTTCAGGTTTTATGAATGCTCTATTTACATTTTAAATTTAAATTAGTTAATGGATCATTTTATCAATTAGTCATCAACCTCATTTTAATTACTTTAGATATCACTATATATATACACTGAAGGTTAACTCTTGGAAAATGCATCATTCATTAGTATTATGCTATGGAGCAGGTTGGACTAAGAACATTGTTCCCAGCAATCGGCTGTGGATTTCTGACATGGCTTACTTCCTCATCTCCTGATTACTTCTCCGATGTCACTGATCGCAGAGGCTTTCCTTGACTAGGCATAAAAAAGATCCCTCAACCTCCACACTCCCCCAAGCTGCCTATCCCTCTTTCATGTTGGCTCTATAGTATTTATCACTCTCTCATAATACAAATTTACCTTTTACTTCTCAGTCTGTTTCTTTCCATGAAAATGCGTAATATTGTCAATTTCCTCTATTGCTGCTTTCCCCCCTGCCTGGCACAGCATAGGTGCTTGGTGCATATTTGAATGAATTAAAGGAAAATGAATGAACATTAGCACATTCTGCACACAATGAGAAGTTGAGAAATAACAATTACTCTAGTTAAATGCAGGACTGTGGCAAAAGATTAGACAAAGACTCCAAAGAGTCAGGAGAGAGGAAATCAAGGTTTTATTTATTTGGGGGTACTGGTAGCTAAACAGAATAGCACATTTTCAAAAAGCAATTAATATGAAATCCTTCACTTTAGAAACCCACTTTGTGAACTGATACTTCAAAAATAAAATTTTTGTTCATATTTTCATCATTTTACATTTAACTTTCTGGGGAATAAATTCATACACACATGCCATATTTCCCAGAGGCACCTGCAATATAACTAAGAAAAATAAGAAATCTAATAATGGTTTACAGGGATGGATTTGTTCATTTTAACTTCAAATTTCTACACACTTGAGGGATGAGATAATAAATAATAATTAATTTTCCTAATACCATTGGAGATGGAACTCTACTTGAGTGACTTTTCAAGAAAACTAGTTCATTCCTTCTATTGTTAATGTTTTCTCTGTTTATAAACAGGTGAGGTAGAAACCATTCTAGAATATCCAGTGTGACCTCTGTGCCATTGAACGGAGGACTGAGTATGTACTAACATTTTTGGGGGACTTAAGAGCACCTCTCTATAAATCAAGTGTTGTGTGCCCGGCCAGTGTTGCTCAATGGTTGAGTGTGGACCTATGTACCAGGAGGTCATGAGCTGATTCTTGGTCAGGACACACACCAGGGATACAGGCTCAATCCCCAGTAGGGGGTGTTCAGGAAGCAGCAATTAATGTTTCTCTCTCATCATTGATGTTTCTATCTCTCTCTCCCTTTCCCTTCATCTCTGAAATCAATAGACATATATTAAAAACATCAGGTGGTGTGCCACATTGTAATTAAGCAGTGTGCTTTAGGACTCTAAGGTCATTCTGGAAATGTTTTCAGAAAGTGTGTCAAGCACTCTTCAGATCCCTGGAGAGTAAGTGTTAAGCAAACTATCGAAAACTTTATTCCCATATGCTTCCAGTAAACTAAACAATTAAATGAGAAGAAACATAATATGTCAGGTGACTCCCAATGCTCTTCAGGAAAATGAGGCAGATGTGGTGCAGAGAGTGATGGTAGCAGCATGCTCTTTCAGCCAGGTGGACTTAATGAGCTTGTCTACAGCAATGAAGGAGGACTGAGCAGAGCCTGGCAGGAGTAGGGTAGGGCCTCCTGGCAGCTGGAATAGTAATTGTGAAGGCTCACAGCAGGAGCAGGCCTGTTGTTGAAGGAAGGGGAAGGGGACCAGGGTGGCTACATAATCATGGACAAGGATGTGGGAATGAGAGGCGACTAAGGAGGTGACCACTGTGGCCATTGGAGGGCTTCTGACTATTCTGAGGGACTGAGAGTAGGAGCCACAGGACCTCCTTATATATTTAGTAGTGTCCCTCTAGTCATTATGTACAGAAGGATGATAGGGGAACAAGGGAGGAAGTACAGAGACTATGCAGCCTTTCTGATGACTGATGGCCAGATGGTGCAAGGTGGCAGCATTTGGGATGTTTCGGTATGAGAAGACACAGGCCTTTATGCAGTCTCTCAGACAATGAGAATAGACAGAGCAGAAATCGAAGGGTCAAGTCCTGGCACTTTACCATTTAGACATAAATAAAATGAGAAAGCTCCATTAAAAGATTTGGAGAACAAGCTGGTAATGAGGGAGGAGGACAGAAAAATGAATGGGGCTATAGAAGCCAAGTGAGTAATAGAATTGAAGGATAACCTGGTACCAACACAGTTGACTATTCAAATATGGGAACTAATGCATTTTAGATGCATTTCAAGTTGGATATTATTGTGTTCTCCTTTCCTGACACCTATTTCCTAGTCTCTTAGTTCAGGTAGCATTCCTCCTAGTCTTCCTGCCTCCAATCTCAATGTTTCGAATCCTCTACTCCTATAATGAAGGTTGTCGGGAGATGCCAGATTCCGAAGCCTATTAAATAAACAACCTCAACTTTGCTCATGATGCTGAAAGAGCAGGTCTGAATTGAGGCCCTTAGGCATAAAACACTGGGTCATAGTTATAACTCTTGAAAACCAGAAGATTGTTTAAACTGTTCCCGTGATTTGTCTGAATGTCATAGTTGAGTTGCCTAAATTCTAATCATTTGCTCCATTGTTGTATCACAGATTTTTAAATATGTTCTGCAGCCAGTAATTATTTTAGCAAATATACACCAATTATTATATAAAGGTTATTATTAATGCTCCCCCTTGTCTCTTCTTTTCAGAAAAATGTGATGAACCCCTTGTGTCTGGGCTCTCCCATGCAGCTTTCAGCAGCTCGTCCTCCATGTCTGCAAGCTATTCTCCGGGCTATGCCAGGATCAACAAGCGAGGGGGTAAGCAACTTTTATCTCCTATGTCAACAAGTGTGTTAAATAAGAAATTCTATATTTATAGATGTAGTGGCATACTGTACATACCTGCATGTAACTCCCTCCTCAAAACCAGCCCATACAATCTACTTCATTGTGACTGTCACACAGCTGGCTATCTCTCTATCCCTCATGTCACTCAGCTTTGGCATGTCATACAGGACACTAGTTGATAACCTCAAAGTGGATCAAGGTAGAAAACAATGTAGGGAGGTTATTTCCTCCTTAAGAAGATAAAAAAGAAATTCAGATATGGTTATTTTAATAAACAAGAAGTTTTTTGTGTCATTATAACATTCCTATGCAAATACCCTTAGGAAAGGAGCCATGTTGGCTGAAGTTCATGCTAAGGTGTAAATGGCTAATAAGCCACATTTATTGAGGATACCTATAATTAGCACAGCATGACATTACTTAAACACAAATAAAGGCAGAAGGGAACTCCAGAGGGAGAAAAAAATGATGTATGTAAGGGAAGCTGGGAGTGCTGGGGATATATTTTCTTACTTCACTATTGGCAAGAATCTGTCCTCTGATTGTATCTTTGCATTTATACTATGCTTCTTTATGTATTCATACACCATATAAGCATCCAAAAGCAAGAAGATCATATACCAACACAGAAGGGTAAAAGGATGTAACTTGCTAATTATACAGAAAAGAACAAAATACAGAAAAGAACAAATTCAGTTGAGCCTTATGTTGATACACATTGGCTTCAACTTTTGTCATTATCATTTATTTAAATTATATTCTTCAAATACATTTTAGAAAGATAGAGCTCATGAATACATAGAGAAGCAGAGTATAAATGCAAATACACAATCAGGGGACATATTGACACATGTATAAAATTTAATTTTAAGGGTCCCCCCCAATACAAATTCATCTCCTCCGTCCTTGATATCAGGGACCAGTACATGACAAACTGGGGAGAAATGTGATATTTAAATGCATAATCCACTTGTAATTCTCTCATGTCTTTTGAAGCCTACTTCTTTAAGTCATTTGCTTGTTTGTTTGTCTTAGAACAATACCTAAGTCTTGTGATCTGTATTCTGGATTTATCTCAACGTTCTTTATTGAAAGTTTCCCAGTCGGTGTCATTCTGAGTCAATGACAATCAAATGGGTTACTCTTGCCAAAGGGAAGCACAGATATTAAAACTTTGAGAGTTATATATAAGCTATCCACTACCTTACATTTATATAGTATTTTACAGATTAGAAAATGCTTTTGTGTGTTCTAGATGTCATTTGGTCTTCATAACAACCTTGTTAGATAGAATGTTAGGTGAGAGATGCCGATTATTTCTTCTGTCAAGCTTTCCACTTCCTACTTCACATGCCATTTGTAGAAATAATCCCCCTTCTATTACCCTAAAGGGATTGCCATTCCACCACATGGTCTTCTCTATCTACTAACCATGGATGATGAGAGAGAACGAACCCATGAGCTCAACTGATGCCCTCAGAACTTCTGTGTTCTCTGTTATATGACATAGATTTGGGGACTGAGAGGGCTATTGGGGAAACCAGGAAGGGTCATGTGGAGATAATATGAAAAGAGAATTAAAAGCAGAGACCAAATGGATCCACATAGAAGGTGGATAAGTCCTGGTCATTCCTATTCTCTTTTAGGTCCCTGCTGTCATCATGCTATAATTCTGGCTTATTTCTTTAGACCAGCGGTTCTCAACCTGTGGGTCGCGACCCCTTTGGCGGTCGAATGACCCTTTTACAGGGGTTGCTTAAGACCATCCTGCATATCAGATATTTATATTACGATTCATAAAAGCCACATTACAGTTATGAAGTAGCAACGAAAATAATTTTATGGTTGGGTCACAACATGAGGAACTGTATTTAAATGGCCAGAAGGTTGAGAACCACTGCTTTAGATTATGAAATTTACCTTTCTAATTCTAATGGTCACCTCCTCTTGCTTGAGCTAATTTGAATAAATTTGTCTTCCAAGTTACTAAATATCTCCTTATTAAAAACAGTTTTCATTGGCCCCATTTTACAAGTTAAAATGATAAATACGGGAACCCCAAAAGACATCAACTGAGAACCTGAACTTGAGATTCTAAATTGGCATAGCTAGGGACTAGTGGTTCAGGGACACCAATCTCTGTCTTCTACTCAATTCTGACACTCTTCATGCCCAGTTAAGCCAGAGGAAGCAATATCAGTGCTGCACATAAATTTGCCCAAAGAAAGAAAGTGAACCTACAATGAGGTAGAAGGTTTAAGGCAAGTTTGATTTATGTTTATATAGTCACAGCAATGCTGTCATGAAATCTCAGAGCTTCTTAAGTGATGCATCTTGGATAATTTCCTTTCTTCTTCACCCTTTGCCACTTTGGTTTACTTGGTAGATCCTTCAATGCCGGCTGCTCCTCAGAGACTTTTTCTTGTTAGATTTACTTCCTGGATAATCCCTACCATGTTAGAAACAGTCTTCTCTATTAAAAGCAAAGGGCAGAGAGTTGTTGGCAGTGTTTTTTGAAGTTATTTCACCTTTATTTCCTCCAGCAGGGAGAACAGATTGCATTTGTAGACCACATAATTGACGATTGGTTCTAGGAGGAATAGGTATATAACAGACATCTGGAAAGACTGCCTGAGCAGATTCCTTATGTCCAAACGTGTGTCTTAAAGAGAACTGCAGTCTTTACCTTCCCTTAAAAGATACCACTGACGTTAATAATTGCCTCCATGCTTTGATGCCTTGGCTTGGTCAAATCATTGTTTTTATCATTTTCTGCTTCCTGTTGTGCAAGACGGAGCTTTAGGAATTAGTAAAATGCCAACCTCCTCTTCAGGTCACAGGTACAGTCTATAGCTACACCTTGGCACCACGTTTCCTAGGCTCCTAGGCGACTCCACAAAGAATCACACTCTGCTCTTCAGAGGGTTTGTTCCCACTACGCCCGAAAAGCAAAATTTTTCTCTCCTTTTTTACACCCTTAATATCAGGTCCTTTAGTTATATTTGTAATCACTCTCTTTCTAATTTCTATTCTTTCTCCCCCATTTCCTGCTTTATATATTAAAAGGATCACAGCTAATTAAACCCCAAACCAGAACTGATGCACTATGAATTGGGAAAGTGACCACAAAGCCTCCACGAGGACATTGTCCCTCTTGGTGCCAGGAATGCATTAGCCTGTGCTCTTCTGCCCTCTCTTGTCCCTGATCCACCCTTCTGTTCCTTGTTGCCCACGCTGGCAGCCAGTATCTGCCAGATCAAGTACCATTCTTAAACTTGATGAGGAAGCTTTTTCCTTAGACTGTAACATCAAGGCTTAAATTATGAAATAGACTCATCTTTCCAACTGGCGAGCTTCTGTCCATGTGGGCAGATTTCACCCCATTACTGTTTTTATATAGCAACCTTTGCAATATACTCTTGGTATTTTCCCTTCTCCAGCCTCTACCCTTTCTCAGTGTGTCCCTTAATCTGCTCCTTCCTACTCCCTAATGATTCATTATTACTTTATTATGAATTCAGTGGCTCACATATTTCTTCTCCTAGGAGCATTGGCCTTTTAAGACTAGATCCTTGGGAGCAGGAAAATGCAGGAGGCTGATATTCTAATATAGCATTGCAGGCTATTTGACATTCCTATTTGGACTGGCTATATTTCTTCATCTTCGGATCACTCTCCTGGAAACACCTGCTGGTTTTGCAGGCTCTGAGGCAGTGCTGAGCAGTGGGACAAGAATGACTTGTCTTCATGCATAACTAGGTTCTAATATGGAATCAACCAAGGATGAGTATGGTATTAGTCCATTATTTAAACTTTCAGCATTTCTGTTTCCTGATCCCTATGGGCACTATATAATTTATCACCTAAGCCAGGAACTTTTGACAGAGAGTTCTATTAATAATTTCACCAGAGTAATCTTGGAAGTCTGGGCCCCCTCTTTATATTTTAACATGAATCAATTATACAGTTTAACAGAGCTCTGGTGAAGGCTAAATGAAAAAAATCTGCAGAAAGTGTCGCATTTAAATATTAGTCTCTTTGCCATCGGTTGCCCTCAGCTCCTCAAAATAATAATGCAAATATTAACATTTTAAAGCATCTGAATGAAATGCCCTCGTCATTATTAAAATGGCACTTCCCTAAAATGTGACTGCTAGGATTTGTGTGTTTGCCACTGTATTTGCATTTCCCTTGTCATCATCTACGAAAAAAAAATGATATTATAATTAAAAGATAAAAATGTTTTAATGAGTTTCACATAATCAGATTGCCTCTTAACATTAACTTAAATGTTGCCCATCTTTTCACCTTAAATTCCATTCATTTCAAATAAAATAGTTTATGTCAATGATTTTAAAGTGTTATTTTGTTCTTGTTATCTTTATATTTTTGAATTAGATTTTATAGGATCTAATATAATATTTAGTAATTTTATGATGTTCAACAAAGCCGAAAAGAATTTTTTGGACATTAGGGAGAATAAAAATGAATGTTTATTCCCCCCTACTCAGCCATATAAATTCTGTCTGATTTTAAAGTTACATATTTAAATGATTTCTTTTAAAGCCACCAGTGGGTCTTTGTATTCACCTTTTCAATTGAATGAGAGTTACCATCAAACTCTATTGTATGTTTTATTTTATTCTCTTTACTCCAATTCTCAAATACAAATGAAAATCTTGACTTCACTCGAAGCTTTAAAATTACATGTACAATACATGATACACTTATATGATTGACCCTTGCTCTGATGGAATATTAAAAGCATGTTCACCAGGAACTGGCTCCTAATTTTAGACACGTCTTTTTAATTTGCAAATACTATTGCTATTTTTCTGCTGTGGCATCAAATTTTATAATGTTGGAATTTTAATTCCTTCTTTTCTGTCCCCCATAGAAATCTATTTTGGGTTGTGTAGCATTTCCCCTAGAACACTGTTTCCCGAGGTGTGTGATGTTACTGTGTTCTC